AATAATTCACTACAAGTTCACAAATCACATCCATTAGCATATCATACAAGTATAATACTAAATGATAAAATTTCTAAATTAAATTTAAGTAATGTAAGTTTATTAAATTATGAAATATAATTTTAATATAGAAGTTAATTAGTTCAAATTTTTAATCTTATAATCCCTCTTTTAAAAGATTGATGGGAAATATTTATTTCATTTATATTTTTTTTTTAAAAAAAAAGACTCATAATAAATTTACAATATGAAATTTATAAAGTTAGCTATAGAATCTTGGATGTAAAATTTAACATTATAGGTTTAAATTAATACATTCATAACTACCAGAAAACAATGGCAGGACATAAAAACATACCCATAGAAGTAGCCCAGGTTCCGTTTATTATACTATAAAAATAATCTATAATTAGAAAAGAGGTGTTTCAAGCATTGAAAAAAAAGTGCAGTGAACCAATGCTAAAGGCTACATTTATATAATAGCATAAAGGAATGAATGCAGCAAACTTAAGATAGTTAGTTGTGAACAAATTTCATTAAATAATACATTGGGTAAGTATAAATATCAAGATACAAAGTTTAACACAAGCTTTTCACCCAATTCATCTAATTTAAAAATGCACCTGCAGTTTGTCATGAGAAATTAGCTGATGTTACAGTCTCGAAAAGATTAGAAAGCAGAGAGTTTCTCCAAATTATCCGTAATTAAATATTGGCGAGGAATTCCTAATTTAATTAATATCAAAATTCTTCTCTTTCATCTGCACAAGCGAAATCCTTTAGCAATTTTCCCATCCAAAAAAAAAAATCATTAATTTCAAAAATCGATCCTCAAAAAGTAATGAATTTTTGATTATAAATTTTTATTAGCTAATATGCCTGATTCTTTTCATTGAACTCTCCAACGTCTATAAATACTAATCCACAGTTTTATCATTCATGACACTAGTTTCTACTGCTATTAAATAATTGTTATTGCACTCTTCCAGAAATCTCTTCATTTTACTTGTTTAATTTATGCTATTGTTGCAAACAAAAAAGATATTCCAAAGCTCATAATTGGTGACAAAGAAGGGCAATAGAAATAATATTCATATACATCTGATAAATAATTTTTAAGTCATGGCAGTGACTTACATTACTTTTTAACCTTTCATGAGAAGAATCATTACAAAAAATTACATTAACAACAATGTTCGCCATTATCATTTCCAAAAGGTTGGCTAGTGGTTATTAACTCGAACTACCATGCATTCGTACAAATTTACGATATCGACATCCAACGTTCAACATACAGTTCACTCTCTCTATAACGACTTTTATCTAGCAGAAAATAACCGGTATAGTGAGAAAGATTGTTATGGGGGATTCGATCACGAAGTTTTATATAACTATCAGATTGAAAAGGGGCGAACGGTGAACAGTCGACTCAAACAAATAAATTAATTTTTATTAAGGGTAGATAGAACGAAAATTTGTATCGATTTTTTATATATACAGTGTGTTAAGAAAAAAATTGGCCTCCGGAGATATAAAATTTAAAATGCATAATTTCATATTAATTAAATAAATCATAACAAATCATTTTAGACAATAATAATTGACTCCGTAACTTAGTTTTAATTAAATTT